ATGTGATTGCCTCTCTCTCATCATTCAAGTCTCAAACATCTCTTCCTCAGAGTGGCCTTTCCTGATCATACAATGTGAGGTACATCACACTCCATCAAGTCACACTACCCTACTGCCCTATTTAATTTCTTGATAGCACTGACCACAATTTAAAGTGATCCTAGTTGCATTTAAACTCTGTCTAGAATGTAAACTCCATGAGGACAGGGACTTGTCTGTCATGTTCACTGCTACATTCTCAGCAGAAAGGTGCAGAAAGTAGAAGACTGAAAGATGTTGAATTTGGAGACTAGGCAGTCACTGATAAGGTGCTTTGAGAGCACTTTTACTCACCACCAACCACATCCTAGCCACTAGTGTTGTGCCTGGAACATGATGGGGACTCCATAGTGACTTATTTAAGAATGAATAAAACCAATGACATTTCAGTGGGATGTTCATTGGGCAGCACAGGGTTTATAGAGGTAACATGCTGAGGACCAAAGATGTCTCCTTGAAGACTAAGGTGCACCTGACACAAGCCATGGTAGTTTCAGCTGCCTCATATGCATGTGAGAGCTGGACAGTGAATAAGGACGATCAAAGAAGAGTTGATGTTTTTGAGTTGTGGTGTTGGAAAGAATACTGAGTACCTGGACTGCCAAAAGAACTAACAAATCCATCCTGGAGGAAGTGCAACAGAATGCTCCTTGGAAGCAAGAATGGCCAGACTTCGCCTCACCTACTTTGGTCATGTTGTCAGAAGGGACCATTCCCTGGAGAAAGATATCACGCTTGGTAAAGTGGAGGGTCAACAAGATGGACTGACACAGTGGCTGCAACAATGGGCTCAGGTGTAGCAAGGATTGTGAGGCTGGCACAGGACTGGACAGTGTCTCATTCTGTTGTGCCTAGGGTTGCTATGTGTCAAGGATGACTTGACGGCACCTAACAACAACAACAACGAAAGTGATGACTTGGGCAGTGGTGGTTTAGTAGTAGAATTCTCGCCTTCCATGTGGGAGAGCCAGGTTAGATTCCTGGCCCAAGTACCCCATGCCCAGGCACCTCTCTCTCTCTCTCTCAGTCCCCTCTCTCTGGACGCTTGTGTGGTGCTATGATGCAGAACTGGTTTCACTGGAGCTTCCAGACTAAGCCACACTAGGAAGAAAGAGCTGGCAATTTCCTTGTGAAAAATCAACCAACGAAAGCGCCATGGATCACAGCCGTCTAAAATGTCGTGCACGGGATACCCCCGAGCTGGGGACCAACTCAGCAGCAGCTCACAACACAGTGATACCAAGAGGGGAAAAGAAGAATGCACAGAGCTTAAATGAACTGTTTTCAGACTTCTTAAAAAAACATCATCATTTGGAAAAGGACATAAACAAATGTGCTCTGTAGGAAGCACAGTGGCAGGCCGCGGCTCTTCACCTTAGTTCCCACTCATGGTTCCTGAGATACCCCAGCACACAACCCACAGACCCATGGAAGATGTGGAAAACTCTTTCCAGAGAAATGTAATCAAGGTGAGAGAGAGGGGAATGACTGTCCTTCATAAGGGCCTAAGGGGAACTGGGGAGAAGGGTTGCAGGGGCAGGGATGGTGGTAGGGAGGGCAGGCAGCATTGGAGCCTGTGAGTGAGAAGAATGGGAGCATGTACAAAGGGAGGGACTGACGATGAGAGGAAAGGGGTTATGTGATGGAGCAAGGCTCTTTGAGAAAAATTAGACCAACAGAACAAGTGGAAGGTTTAGCCTTAAAACAGAATCTAAACTTGCATTTCCTATAGATAAGAAAAAATTAGTAAGAAATGTTGAAATAAGGGACATTTTATGATCAATGGCATACATATAATTAAAATAACTGATTAATTGCTGTCAGAAATACCTTTGATCAATTTGGGTCTGGGGAAAAAACAAATGCTTGGATTTAAGGAAAAGGAGGGGAAAACTATATTCTGAATGAGAAGAGTGAAAAATCAATTCTTTACTGGACTTGTTTCAGATTATACCCAAATAACACACACCTTCTCTGCTTGTTTGTCAACCACTTGCTCACCCCAGGAGGTATTTTTGTAAGTGCCACTGCCAATTGTTTTTTACATGCTGTTAAAAAAAAAAAAAAAAATAGCATGCCAAAAAAACACAAACTCACTGCTGTCGAGCCGATTCGACTCATAGCGACCCCTCCTGGGTTTCCAAGGCAGCACTGCGGAAGTAGATTGCCCAACCTTCCTTCTGAGCAGCGGCTGGTGGGTTTGAACCACCAGCCTTGTGGTTAGCAGTCAAATGCCTTAGGCTCTATGCCACCAGAGAGAGTTAAAAATGCCGTGGGAGTTGGGGTGGGTGGGGGGAAGGAGCTGGCAAACAAATGGAGAAGGCATGAGTAGGAGGCACGTGTTATTTGCACTAAAACACATACAACTGAACCTTGATCATCAGAAATATGCTTCTATCATTTAAAGTTGAACGTTTTGCTTAAAAGATCCATATTTATATATGATTATAGAGCAAATATTAAGAATATTTACCTGATAACAATGAAGTCAGTATTGTGGACTTTCTTCAATGGGGGTAGGGGTGCCTAAAAAGTGTTCTTTGGTTAATAATGATAAATTTGCTATAAAATAATTTCTTTTTGGAAAGCATAAAAATGAAAGGAATAATTCAATAATCAATGTAAATACAGTCTCTTTGGACAATAATTGCCTGGATTATAAAACTTTACAGCCATATATCTTTAAAATCAGAATCTAGACTGTTTTAGTCTGAAAGGTAACTATGAGGTCATGTTGTTGTTATGTTCCCTCGAGTTGGCCCCAACTCATAGAGACCCCTCCTTGAATCATGTTAATTATTTATATACAAGCATACCTCGTTTTCTCAGAAGGAAGATGGGGCAATCTACTTCCGTAGTGATACTGCCTCAGAAACCCAAGGAGGGGTCGCTATGATTCGGGTCCAACTTGAGGGCACATAACAACAACAAACCTCGTTTTATTGCACTTCGTTTTATTGTTTCGCAGATACTGCATTTTTTACAAATTGAAGGTTTATGGCAACTATCCATCAAGTGTGTCAGTGCCATTTTCCCTGTAACAGCATGTGCTCACGTCTTGGTATCACAATTTGGTAATTATCGCAATGTGTCAAAACTTTTTCATAATGCCATTGCATACTGAATAGACTCCATTATAGTGTAAACATAACTTTCATACACACCAGGAAACCCAAACGTTTGTGTGATGCACTTTACTGCAATAATCACTTTATCGCGGTGGCCTGGAACTGAACCTACAGTATCTCCAGGGTACGCCTGCACAGGACACTTGCACAGCCTCCCAGCCGGCCAATCACTGTCGAAAGCTGCACTCAACAGCTGTGTACAGCACAGCAGTCAAAGCATGGGCCCTGGAGTCAGACTGCCTGGGCTCGTCAGCCTCTCACTTACACTTTGATATGGGGCAAGTTACCTCTCTGTGCCTCAATTTCCTCACCTGTAAAATGGAGATGATAAAATGTGGCTCACAGGGTGGCTCTCAGGGTTGAATGTGGTAATTCAGGTGAAGCGCTTAAAACACCACCTGAAGTTCATTTCAGGTGTGCACCTAGAAGGAAACCCATAAACATGAGCTGTGGCAACCTTAACTAGAGATGCATTGGTCGATTGTCCCCAGGTTAAGGAGATTCACTTTAAGAATTATCATATAATCTCAGGGTTGAAGGGATGTATTATCTGGTCATTCTCTTTCCACTGAATGTTCAAATCCAATGGAAGCAACCCTTTCTACGTAAGTGATCATGTAGTCCCTACTAAATCCTTTTGTGACCCATGGCACAGTGCTCACCTGTATTTTCCACCTCTGGGGTTTAGTGGGAAGCTACTATCCCACTTTTAGTACATGCTGGTGTCTGGTGGGGACCTATTTAACTGCACAAATCTGAAGAAACAGGGCTCATCCTACCCCAGCACTAGAGATCCTTTGGGACACATGTGTCCCACTAATCGTATTAAAATCCATTATCGTAAAAAAAAAAAGATATTTTTCATTTTATTCAAAGTAACTTCCATTACTGAAAATACATGGTTTCAAAAAAAATTCCAAAGCAGACAAAAATTTGGTCTTGAAAGGGTTAACTGCAGACCCTGAGGGAAGTAGAAGTACTCTCATTCAGGGACAGCTTTAACTCTCAGAAAGTTACAGAGTTCCAATGTGCTTTTCTCCACCATTCCTAAAACCATCAGCCTCCAGATGTCATAGCAAAGCTAATGTCCTTTCCCATGATAGGTTGTCAGGTATCTGAATATGACTTTGTCTTCTCTAGGACAAAGTTTTCCAATACACATAGTTGAAGATTTCTAACACTGATTTTGCAGCAACCCACTGTTTGAGTAACTAATCATTTTTGTATGACCTTTAGAAATACTACACTGTATGAATTCAAGTGAATTTTAAAATTATGTTTGTATGCATTTCTTCAAAGAAATATACCTTTATTGAGTGTCACAACTGGATAGGGAATTCCTAACATGACAAACTTATTCTTAATTAGTGTATTATCAACACTTCTGGGTATTGTGAGTTGTCTTGTGTGGTGGGGATAGTGAGGGATGGGGAAGAGGGCTCAAGAATTTAACAGTGACAGCCAAAAAAGACAATCTGAGGTTTTTGAGAACTGAACTTCACTTCTCCAAGCCTGACAACCTAATAGTTCCAAACAAGATAATCTTTAAAATTTTTATTGATAGTATCTGGAGGGGTGACGTACATCCAACTGACACAAGTCCAAGTAGAGGAAAGGACAATACAATCGTGGTGACGCAATAAGGGAGAAGCAACATGGTATTTCCCTGCATCCTCACAGACAGACAGACGACTAATACATGTATTTATAGAATCCTGTCCCATCATCCTGTGCATCCAGATGAAGCTCCAGCATCAAAAAGGCACCGTGGAAACAAGCTCACTTCGTGGTGGTACTCTCAGGCAGAAGATAAGCAGTGCTGATGGCCAGAAAAAACAGAAGTGTGCCCCAGGCAATGGAACTTTCTTCATGCTCTCATTCATTTTCTTTGGGGGGTTCATTTTTCTGAATCAACCACACTTCATTATTTCTATTAAGCAACTGAAAAGGACTATTGTAGCCTGCAGTGTAGTAAACTTTTTCATCAAAAACTTTGCCTTCTTCCCTCAAAATGTTCGCTAATGTCAAAAGCTGTTCTTGATTCTTTTGGGCACTAGAGAATCCATCAAAAGACCTACAAAGGAGAAAGTGAATATCAGGAGTGATCTTCATAGTGCTGCTGCTGCCAGTCTGAAAAGAAAAGCTGGAGCGGTTACCATGACAGCTGTAAGCCACACGCTTCAAAGCTACCTCCTTTCTCCCTCTCTGCAGGTGGACTGACCAGGCCCTTCCTCTGTTCTCAGGCTTCCTGTGACCTCAGGCACACAAGGAGACCCAAGAGGACACATATGTTCTTCCTGGTGACAGGAAGATTTGAAACTGACACCACTTCAGGTGCTCTAACCCTGTGTTTCTCAAAGTCTAAAGTGCAGACAAATCACCTGGGATCTTGCCAAAATGCAAACCCAGGAGGTCTGGGGCAGGGCCTGATAATCGGCATTTCTAGACGCCCAGTGATGCTGCTGCTGCTGGTCAGGAGACCCACTGTCATTGGATCCTTCACAGCAACCTCCATTGGGTTTCCAAGCCTGTCAATCTTTATAGAAGTAGATTGCCTCATCTTCCTCCTGCCAAGAAGCTAGTGGATTTGAACCATCGACCATCTGGTTAGCAGACAAATCCCTTACCCACTACGCCAGGGTCAGAGAAGCCACTTTAATCCACTTACAAGCCCCCTTCCAGACTCTCAGTAGTCTATGGGACATCTCCCCTTTACCCTTGGGTAAAGGTAGGCACTGGATTTCAGATGAACACAGTATAGTTTTCACCTCCATGAATTTATGATCTAAGGGAAGAGATACACATTTTGGCAGCTCTCTCTATACAGAGAAAGTGTTATACTGAGATAGGATCAAAGTGCTGTAGGAACACTGAGGATATGATTAAGTCAGGGATGGGAGTATCATCTGATTTAGGCCTGCAAAGGAGAATGGTTTTGCTAGAAAGAGGCTACATCCCCAGTAGGGAGAAGACAAGAAACAAAGGAACAGGTACCCAAAAAAACAAAGTATTTTCATATTGAGGCATAAAATGAGGCCAGAAAGGTAAGTCAGAGCGGACAGAAGAATCTTGTATATCATCCTGAGGCCTTCTGAGATTATTCCGAAGGATGTTGAGCAGAAAAGTAACTTGATAGATCTGGAAAGAACACAGGTAGATGGAGAACAGATTGTAGGGAACAGGCCAAATGCAGGAGCCAGTTAGGAGACTGCTACGGGAATGGGGGAGAAAGGAGACTGTAAGTCTCTTTAGTGTAAGTTTAGTATAGCTCTCTCTTTGGCATACGTTTTATTATCTTTGTGCCAATGGAAAAGATCAGTCCAAACTTCAAATAAGATATTAAGCATTTGAGGTTACAGACAACATCTATTTTATTCAACACTGTCTCCCCAGCACCTGGAATGATTCCTAGAATCATGCCCAAAAAACCACCATGGCAACACCTCATGTGTCAGAGCAGAACTGTGCTGCCTACTGTTTTCAGAGCTGGTTTTTCTGGAAGCAGATTGCCAGGCCTTTCTTCTGAGAGACTCTGGGCAGACTGAAACCTCCAACCTCTTAGTTAGCAGCAGAGTGTTCAACTGTTTACAACACCCAGCGACTACAGACACGCAGGGCCCTTCAGATCCTTGCCGAGTAAGTGTATGACTATATATGTACATGTATGTAAAATAAAACACCGCAGGTAAGCTGATAAAACTATAGTTTTTATCATGTTGATTGACAACCACTGTGGACCATGTGTTAAGAAATGCTTTCACTCTTCAATTTATTCTTTCTTTCTTTATGAGTAGCCATCTTTTAGTACATTTTACTTACAGGAAATTTATTTTCAGATCCCACCTCTTCCTTGAAATCAAATCTTGAACCTCTAATAAGAAACGGTTTGTCCTCTGAATACGCGTCGCTCTACAATGATCAAGCCACTGCTTTATTCAGCACACAAATGTCTACGAGCCCTATCGTGTGCCTGTTGAGCTAGGAGCTAGAGGATATGCAGTCAGGAATATGCCCTTCTATTGCTGAGGAACTGACAGTCTACAAATAAGCCATTAAATTTAGATAATAATTATTTTAATTTAGATAATAATGAATGGAGGAAAGATTGAAATTGTCAAAGATTTCATATTACTTGGTTCCACAATCAACACCAATGGAAGTAGCGGTCAAGAAATCTAACAATGGAGCCTGCTGGAACCCCTGAGAGTATGGCCCCTAGCTGCCCTACAGGTCTGGAATTAAACCCACTCCTGTGGCTTCCAGCCAAACAAAAAACAGGCTCATGAGGTAGACATATACATTAGGTAGAGGCACTCTGGAGAGATCCATCATGGGAGAGAGAAGGGCTGCGTATGCACAAGGAAACAGTGCAGGAGGCAGGAGTGCCTGGGAGGGAAGGACACAAGGAAGAGGTAACTATGGGGAGGAAGTGCGAAAAAAGCTGTTGCACTGTGGTAAACTGCAGTCAATGTCTTGAGACAACATGTATGTGAACTGCTGTATGGAAAATGAATTTGTTCTATAAACTTTTACCCAAATCACAGTAAAAATTAAAAAAATAAAAGAGAAATCAAACAATGTATTACACTGGGCAAATGTGCTGCAAAAGACCTCTTTAAAGTGCTGAAGAGCAAAGATGGCTCTAAGGCATGCCTAACCCAAGCCATGATATATTCAATCACCTCATATGCATGTGAAAGCTGGACAATGAATAAGGAAGACCCAAGAAGAGTTGATGCTTTTGAGTTGTGATGCTGGTGAAGAATACTGAAAGTATCGTGGACTGCCAGAAGAACAAACCAATCTGTCCTGGAGGAAGCACAGCTAGAATGCTCATTGGAAGCGAGAATGGCCAGACTTCATCTGACCTACTTTGGTCATGCTGTCAGAAGGGACCATTCCCTGGAAGACATCATGCTTGGTAAAGTGGAGCATCAGCAAGAAAATGGAAGGCCCTCAATGAGATGGACTGACACAGTGGCTACAACGATGGGCTCAGGTATAGTAAGGATTGTGAGGCTGGGATAGGACTGGGCAGCGTTTTGTTCTGTTCTACACAGGGTAGGTATGACTGACGGCACCCAACAACCACAACAACAGATGGACGGGCACAGCAGACAGACTGGCTGTCTGCCTGGAGTAAGTGAGGAAGGCAGCACAGAGAAGGTGTCATCTGATCTGAGTCCTGAAGGATGAAAACAGTCTTTCCAGGAAGAGAAGAGGGAGCTAGTACTAGAAGCACTATCATGGGCATGTTCTAAGTAGTTTACATAAATTAACTCGTTTGAGCTTCTCAGCAACCCTATAAGATAGGCAAGTACTATGGTTATACAGGAGGCCTTGGGTGGCACTAACAGATAAGTGCTTGACTACTAACCGAAAGACTGGTGGCTCGAACCCAGAGGCCCCTGAAGAAAGACCTAATGATTTGCTCCAAAGATCACAGCCTGGAAAAGCCTATGGAGCACAGCTCTACTCTGCACACATGGGGTCACTATGAGTCGGAACTGACTCAATGGCGACCGGTACTGGTATAATCACCGTATTTTTCCACATATAACATGCCATGCAAATAATGCGCACATGCATGTAACACACACAGGAAACTAATGTGCATAGGAACTGCTTGGTATAAAGCAGATTTTATTTGTGTAAAATACAGTACATATATTTTAGACATCAACAGATTTGGACAAGGGAAATTTGAGTAATTTGCCTGAGGTCAAAGGTAAAGAGATGTGGAAGAACACGGCACATTCAATGAAGAATGAGAAGGTCAGTGGAAAACAATACAGTGGAGTGGGGAGGGGGCTGCTGGATTGGGCCAAACAAAGGGTACAACATGTGCACAACGTGAACTTCATGGAAGTAACAGGAAAAAGCTTTTTAAATGGTGTAACGTGTTAGGATTGTTGTTGCTGTTGTAAGAAAGATCACAGGTGCCAGTGTTTAGAAGGAGAGAAAGAAGAGTGGTAGCATCAAGGACAACTGGCAGGCTATGGCTATGGAAAGAATTCAGGAGTGATCGATACACATCTGGTTATCTACTGAGCATCAGGGCACTGGGCTAAACAGTGGGTTACACACTATGCCACCAGAGCACAGTGTGGCCCCTAGGAGATGACAATCTGAGGCAGTAACAATGGAGATGTCAAGAAGGGAACAGACAATTATTTCTGAGGAGAAGTGGCAGTTATTTGGGGACCAGTTGTCAGGGTAGAGGGTACTGATGATGACCATGAAGTTCTTTCCTATGGAAGCCATCTGGCTTATGAAGTCCTTTACAGGGTCAGGCACTAGGAGAGCAGAGAAGGTTTGTGAGTTAGGAAGAGGCTCATGTTTACAGCTATTGAGTTTGATGCTCCTCCAAATGGAGACATTCAACAAGTAGAGAAAACAGAGCTAGAGACACTTGATAGAGAATCATCAGATACAGGTATTTGAGGCAAGTCTGTTATGAAATGAGGGTCGGCAATGGACATCAACAGTGAATCCTGGTTGGGGAGGGTGGGTAGTAGTGGAGGAGGAGCCAATGGAGGGAAAAAAACAGAAGACGACAAGAAAGTGACATTCTGCAGCCACTTGGAGGGGGATCTCTGTAGGAGATCCTGCATAGAGTGGGAGAGAACAATGTGGAACAAAACTCAAAATCATTAAAAAAAAGGGACGAGGTTTGCTGGTCTGACAGAGCCTCATGGAACCACTGAGACTATGGTCCCTAGCTGCCCTTCAGGTTTGGAATTGAACCCCTTCCCGTGGCTTCCAGCCAAACAAAAGACAGGCATGTGAACTGAACATTTACATTGGGCAGATGCACTCCTTGGAGAGATCAATCATGGGAGAGTAGAAGGGCTGTGTGTACACAGAGAGATTGCTCAGGGGGACAGGAGTGCATGGGAGGGAAGGACACAGGGAAGAGGTAACTATGGGGAGGAAGTGAGAGGGGAGCTATTGCATTGTGGGAAATTTGCTCTGTAAACTTTCACCCAAATCACAATAAAAATAAAAAAATAAAAAAAGTGACATTCTGAAAGTTAGAGGATGAACAGGTATCAAGGGAAAGGAATGGTCAGCACTCAAATGCTGCAGGTGTCATGTGGCAAATGGAAGAGCACTGCTGAGGGGTGAGAGCATTTCCAAGGAGATGGTGGGGGTTGTGCCAGATTGTGATGTTTGAGGAGTACATGGGGGCTGAATAAGCAGAGCTGGTTTAACAGGTTGGTGGTGAAGGGAAGGAAAGGCAGGAGTAAAGAGAAGACAGCATCCACTATGCATATAATAGCATATCCTGTGTTTTAAGGTATTTTCACTCAGGTCTAAAGAAATTCCAAGTACAGATAGTCTTCTATTGTTATTTTGGTTTTGTTTTGTATAATTTAGGTTTTGTCTTATATGTGCAATGTAGTCAATATAGTTTTCATTAAATAAATTGACTATATCTTGTGGCAGACCTCACTAACATATATAAATTAGTAGGAAAACACTGTGAAATGCATTATAACTGTGCTTATGGAAGGGTGATGAAAAGCCTGCTGAAACTGCATAGGAGCTAACCTGTGAGTGCACACGAGTAAAACTAGCAGCCAGCAGTGCTATAAATTATCTACCACTCACCGTACAAATACAGTCATTTCAGCTCTGTTTTCAATGAAGACATCTGACTCTGAGGACTTGGGCGGGTCAGGTTGCTGTTCAGAGGGGATGTACAAGGAAATGGTAATGGTAGACTCACTAAAAGGGCCTGAACCTGGCTCCACGTAGCTTGTCACTGGAGCTGTCATCTTTATTTTCATCTCTGTGTCATAAAAACATTTAAATACAAAGGGGAGAATGTAAGCATGGTTAGTGTATTTATTATACTTTCCATTATCCTATTTCTTTTTTACTTTCTTCATTTACTTTACATTGACATAATTAAAGAAATTTCCACCTTTAAAAAGAAAGGAAGGCCGATACTTATCAATTATCCACTGATCATATGAACCACTTTGGTGCTGTTGCTATTTTTAGTTAACAGATTCTACTGCTTTAGGGAGAGAAGGGAAAGCAGAAGTCACATGGTCCAGTCCCTTATTTACTTTTGTTCATGATTCAGAAACTGAAGTCCCATAAGCTCAGTGACCTATTCAAATATAAACAGCCAGAGTCAGAACCTGTATTTGGAGACTGCCCACCTGTGTCCTTTGTAACTTCCTGTCTCAGGTGTCAAATGATCTCCAAGCATTAGTCTTGAAAAAGGACTCCTAGTTAAGTGGAGCCTTAATTCTCCAGCACAAACACAAAGAAGAGAAAATGAAGTCCTATCCAGACTCCCGTCCTCTAGGCCCAGCTACCGGTTCTTAGGAGACTTCATGCTTTGAAACGTTAAGGCTTTGATATAATGTGGGTTTGTTGTTGTTAGGTACCGTGGAGTCGGACCGACTCATAGTGACCCCCCCTTGGGTTTCCGAGGCAGTATCACTACGGAAGTAGATTGCCCCATCTTCCTTCCGAGGAGTAGCTGATGGGTTTGAACCGCCACCCTTCTGGTTAGCAGTCAAGTGCCTTAGGCACTATGCTACCAGAGCCCCTATAATGTGGATATTTTTCTATTATTAAGGATATTTCCTTAGTAAGCCAAAACTCATTAGTAATCAAGGAAATCAGACCACAATATACAGAATTACAAGGAAAATGGCTTTTACCTTTCTCGTTTTTGCCTTCAAAGTAGCTGTTCAGCTTTGTAAAGCCGGTCTGGATGGCTGAATCCCAGTCCATGGATTCTACGCACGTGCTGACCCACTTGGCTGGTCCATAGTGTCGTATCTCATAACTTCCGGGCTAACATGGAACGGAGAAAAACTTCGGGAAGCAATTCTCAGAGGGCAGAACGTGAGATGCAACAACACAGGGGCCTTGAGCTCGGGTTAACGTGGAATTGGCCAGCCCCGGGGTCTGGACCAAGGTTCCGGTCCTTGGGGCGCACAGGGCCTCTGCCCTGCGAGTCCCGTCATTGGGAGATGAGAACCACGGCGGCCGGAGCGCCACACGCTCAGGGATCTGACTCGGCTCAGGTTAAAAACAAGCATCTGTATTATGCCATTCTGAAAAGTGTACTTTTCACTTAAATCTCTGGGGCCCTCTGGCCTCGCGCCCAACCGCCGCTTCCCCGTCCCATCCCACCTCGCTGTGTTCGCACTCTCCGCAACCGAGCGGCACCTACCTGGGGTCCCGCATCCTCCGGGGTCTTCCAGCCGGGTGTCTCCAGGACCTGGGCCGCCACGCTCTCGGCGGCCCCGCCGTTGGGATCGAGCACCTCGGCCATAGGGAGACCCGCACTCTGAAGGAAGAGCCAGGCGAGCTGCGCCGGAAGGGCCTGCACCTGGCGCCGCCCGCGCCTCGGCCGCTGTGAGGCCGCCCCGCTGCGTGCAAGGCGCGCCGGGACTGCGGAGGCCTCGAGTCCCCGCCCCGGCCTGCGGACGCGCCTTCTCCCCGCAGTGCCGGTGCCGGGACAGTCTGGGCCTGGCCGGGAGGGGGCGCTGCCACTGCGAGAGGTCCTGCCTCTGGACCCCAAACGGCTCCAGCTGGGCAAGCGCGCCCGCCTGCCAGGTCCCTTCCGTAGCGACCTCTGCCGGGGACTGGGAGAGAGACCTGAGCCCGGAGATAGGCTTGCAGGGTCCATCTGCTTCAGCACGGAGTTCTTTGGGGTCTGCCTCGCCCCTGCTTTGTTTTCATTAACTAGTCCCGCATGGTTTGCACCTTGGGGAGCTGTGGGTGGAGCAGGGCAGAGATGGCGGGTGTTCTGGTGGGACCGGTTTGGGAGCCTGGCCCCCAGCCCCTCCTGCTCTGGGAGCTAGTTTTGCAGCCGGTCTAATTCCCGGAGACCTGCCCCTCGTGGGTGTTTCTGCGAGGCCTGCACTCCCGGAATGAAGGAAGGAGTCTGTTCTCTGGGGTGCGACAGTGGGCACGCACCGGCCAACTCCAGACTGGCCACAGCCAGTCACTCACACCTGGAAGGTGGCCTAGGGTTCCACACAGCCTTCAGGGAGGAGGTGGGTTGGGCTACAATGACGCCTGGAGAACTCTGAAATGTCGGGTTTCTTGACCTCTCCTTGTTGTTGCTTTTGCCATCGAGTCGGCCCTGACTCATAGCGACCCCTCCTTGGGTTTCCAAGGCAGTATCACCACCGAAGTAGGATTGCCCAACCTTCCTTCCGAGGAGTGGCCTCTCCTAGAAGAAATTATTCCAAGTGGGGTGGAAGGTAGCGATGGGGACAGCTGCCGGAACCCGGCACTTTGTTGTGGTGGTGGGATTTATTCTTACTTCTTTTTTTCTCTAACAGATTTATTAAGAAATAATTCATATGCCGTACAATTTACCCATTTTAAAGGTATTATTTAAGGAGCGCTGGTGGCTCAGTGGTTAAGCTGTTGGTTGGTTCAGCCCCTCACTAAAAGGGTGGCTTGGCTGCACAGGAGAAAGAGCAGTCTGCTCCTGTGAATTTAACAGCCTTAGAAACCCTATGGGGCACTTCCACCCTGTCCTGCAGGGTTACTGGGAGTCGGAATCAACTGCACAGCAACCTGTTTGTTTTAGAATACTCACAGCTGAGCAACCACCACCACGATCAAGTTTAGAACATACTCATCACCCAGCACACCCCATCAAAGCTGTTAGGAACCAATCTCCCAGCCCTAAGCAGCCACTCATCTACTTCCTGTCTCTATATTAGCCTGTTGTGGACAATTTCTAAAGAGCTCTGGTGGTATGGTGGGTAAAGCACCCAGCTACTAACCAAAAGGTAATAGATTGAAACCCGCCAGCAGCTTCATGGAAGAAAGATGAGGCAGTTTGCTTCTATAAAGATGCCCAGCCATGGAAACCCTACGTGGCAGTTCTCTGTTCTGGTGGGTCCCTGTGAGTCAGATTGACTTGATGGCATTGGGTTTGGTTGGTTTTGGGGACGTCTCATATAAATAAAATCATTCAACATGTGCTTTTGTGACAAATTCTTTCACTTAGTGTAATGTTTTCAAGGTTTATCCGTGTTGAGCATTCCTTTTTATGGGAGAATAATACTCCATTTGAAGACTAAGATACACCTGACCCAAGCCATGGTATTTTCAATGACCTATATGCATATGAAAGCTGGACAATGAATCAGGGAAACAGAAGAAGAGTTGATGCCTTTACATTGCGGTGTTTGCGAAGTTGTTGTTCGGTGCCGTCAAGTTGGAGCAATTTCAGCATTCTTCGCCAACACCGCAACTCAAAAGCATCAACTCGTCTTTGGTCATCCAGCTTTCATATGCATTTTAGATGATTGAAAACATACTGAGAATACCATGGGTTGCCAGAAGAATGAACAAATCTGTGTGGAAGTGCAGCCAGAATGCTCCTTAGAAGTGAGAATGGCCAGACTTTGTCTCGCCTGCTTTGGCCATGTGGTCAGAAGGGTCATGTGGTCCCTGGAGAAGGATATCATGCTTGGTAAAGTGGAGGGTCAGAGAAAAAGGGGCAGACCCTCAACAAGACGGATCTTGTGGTTGGCAGTGGTTGCAACAACGGGCGCAAGCATAGCAAGGATCCCGAGGATGGCGCAGGACTGGCCATATCTTGTCCGCTGCACCAGAGTCGACTTGATGGCACCTAGCAACAACAATGACAAGAGTCCATTGCATGGATATGCCACAGTTTGCTTCTCCATTCATCAGCTAATGTCACTGGGTCATTTCCATTTGTTGGCTATTATGAATAATGGTGCTATGATCATTCATATACCAGTTTTTGTGGACATATGTTTTTATTTCTCTTGGGCATGGAATTGTGGTGTCATATGGTAACTATATTTAACTTTTTGAGGAACTACTATACTGTTTCCCAAAGCAGCTCACCAGTTTACATTCCCAGCGACTGTGGTATGAGTATAGTATTCTGATTTTTCCATGTCCTCACCAACAGTAGTTATTATCTGGTTTTCTGATTATAGCCATCCAAGTGCATAGGCCATAATATAAAATTCATCGTTTTGAAGTCTGCAGTTTAGTGGGGTTTTAGTCTATTTATTTTGTTGTGCAGCCATTGTTGTTGTTGTGTGCCATTGAGTGAACTCCAACTCATCGTGCTCCGTGTGACAGAGTACAACTGCCCCAGACGGCTTTCTTGTCTGTCATCTTTACAGGAGCAGATTACCAGGTCTTTCTGCTACGGAGCCGCAGGGTAGCTTCTAATCGCCAATCTTTCTGATAGCCACTGAGTGCTTAACTGTTTGTGCCATGAGGGTGCCTTATGTGCAACCACTGCCGCAAGTTCCAGAACATGTCCATCACTCCAGAAAGAACCCTTGTACCTGTTAGCAGTCACTCCCAAACTTTCCACCCCCTAGTTCCCAGCAACCACTACTCTCCTTTCTGTCTCTCTGAATTTGTCTGCTTTGGACATTTCATTTAAATGGAATCATACAAAATCTGGTGTTTTGTGACTGGCTTCTTTCATCTTGTGTAATGTTTTCAAGATTCATCTATGTTGTAGCCTGCATCAGTATTTCATTCCTTTTTTTTTTTTTTTTTTTTTTTAGGATTTGGGTGAAGATTTACAGAGAAAATTCACTTTTCATACAGCAGTTCACATATACTTTGTCTCATGTCATTGACCAAAATTTACAATGCAGCAGCTCCCCTCCCACTTCCTCCCCATAGTTACCTCTTCCCAGTGTCCATCCCTTCATACTCTTCTGCACCCTGAGCTATCTCCCTGTGCATAAGCAGCCCTTCCTTCTCCCGTGATTGTTCTCTCCAGGGCGTGTGTCTACTTGAGGTAAATGTTTAACTCACATGCCTGTACTTTGTTTGGCTGGAAACCACAGTTGTGGGTTCAATTCCAGACCTGAAGGGCAACTAGGGGCCATAGTCTCAGTGGTTACACCAGGCTCCATTGGACCAGCAAACCTGGTCCCCACCTTCTTTTTTTTTTTTTGGCCTCCAAACAATTTTGAGTTTTGTACCACTTTGTTCTCCCTCTTTATGTAGGATCTCCTACATCATTCACATGAACTTATAGGCCCATTGTCTGCCAACCCCATATATGATCTTGGATACACTCTCCATTTAGACACACCCAATTGTTCAGCCTGTTCACCCATCTATCCGTCCCTATACCCATGTTTGCTTTCACTGACAACTCAGTACTGTATATGCAAAGGGGTTCATATTTGTTGTCTGTACTGCCCATGTAACTCTCTATGTCTTTCTCATCCTCAACGCTGCCATATTGGTCACTCACATTTGGTACATTGCCCTTCTCTTCACCCAAATCAATATTTATCTCTCTATCTAACAGCATTCCCTCCCCTTCCCTCCCACCCCTGGTAACCAAAAAAGAAAATGTCCTCCAATATATAAACCTTTCCTTAACTTTCACAATAACGGACTAATACAATATTTGTCCTTTTGTGACTGACTTATTTCGCTCAGCATAATGTCCTCCAAGTTCATCCACGTTATGCGGTGTTTTGCAGATTCTACATTATTCTTTAGCGTTGCATAGTATTCCATTGTGTGAATGTACCAAAGTTTGGTTATCCATTCCTCAGTTGTTGGACATCTAGGTTGTTTCCAAGTTTTGGCTATTGTAAATAGTGCTGCGATGAACATCGGCGTGCATATATCTGTTCTTGTTATGGCTCTCACTTCTTTAGGGTATATACCTAGTAATGGGATGGCTGGGTCAAATGGTATTTGTATTTCCAACTTTTGAAGGAATCGCCATACTGCTTTCCACAATGGTTGTACCATTTTACAGTCCCACCAGCAGTGTATGAGAGTTCATTCCTTTTTATAGCTGCAAAATATTCCATTATGTGGGTTTAGTGCTTTTAAAGCAATTGCCTTCTTTTTTCCTAATAATTCCTTGTCCAAGCAGCTATGCAGTAGCCTGCAGACACATGCTGTTTTCTAATAGTTACATAAATTCAATTGTTATACAGAGCTAAGTTTGAATTAATTACTGAATGCTTAATAATGAATTTGAGCTTTTTTTTTAACATAGCCTGTTTATGCTAATTTATGTAACAAATGTGTGTCATTGTTTAGGTGTCATTCAAAATTGAGAATATCATTTTACTTTATTGAAGTTGTTGGTATTTTTTAAAAGGAGAAAACAAATCAATTTACATTGTTGCTTAAGAGGTCTGTTTTCCTTTTCATCTATAATCTTTTACAGATATTAATGTGTTTTGACAGTGCATTCCATTAGCTGAAAAACTAAGGTTGGATTTGGAGACATTCATTTTCTAGAGTATGGAACATGCAACAAATGAAGACGTC